ATACATTTGCGGTTGCTGCATATACTTGGGATTCAGACATTCCCCAATATTGTTCCTTGGCCTCGTCTCTTTTTGCCTGCAAATCTATTACCCTGTTTCTGTGCTTTAGGGTCTCTTCTATAAAACATGAATAACAGCAATCTCATTCCTGAGAATAGAGTTATGAGAATATATATTTGAAATGTAAGAGTCAAGGTGCTGGCAGGAAAGTGAGGTGTATATGTAGCAAATAAAAATAGACATCTGAAGAAAGGGTGGATAATTGTAATTTCTAGTTAATTGCTATCAGTTGTTACTAATACGAAGTTGTTATAGAGCCCTTCATCTTACTTTGCTGAAATATTTCATTAAGCTTCCCAAGAGCCATAAGATTTCTGAAGGTATTATTTATAACATTGCCTGTAATCAGTGCCATGCTGCTTTTAGTCATGTGTTATTCTTTCTCCCTTTTAATCACTAACATTAGTATAGTATTGTGTTGCCCTGGTCTTCCTGCCCAGTGCATTCTGGGAATATCTCTGCTCAAGCCAAATGCCTGCTTTAGCTTTGAGGTTGCTTTAAAAATTATTATTATTATTATTATTATTATTATTATTATTATTATTATTAAGCTGAGCTTAATAATAACCTGAACTATCTGAATTCCAGAGGTTGAAGGTGAAGAGTATTAAGAATATGGAACATATGATGGAAGATATTTCCATACAGCTCAAAATTGTAACTTCTTGTAGCTGGGCAATTGTGGAAAGAGACTGTTGTAAGAAGCCTCTTGTACAGGATAACACATTCTTCCATCGAAGAACTTGGTAGCAAAAAAACAGCTCTATGATTTCAGGCAGCCTTCGCCTCCTTATGTCTGACTTCAAATGGGCTGAACTAAAAGTGTGGACATCTTGGGGTTCAAAAGGTATATTTCAGATGCTAACCTGCTTGCATGCACAGTCTTACAGAGGATGTAAACTGGAAATACCTGTCGTTGATAGCGAACTGCTGCCAAGCAAATGGGATCAGTGCTGCATATGACACACCTAAAAGAAGTGATTTTGTAGCCCAGTTTTGTGAGTCTGCACAGCAGCAGCCTCTGTGTAAGTGGTATGACTTAGAGCTTCAGTTCCTAACCATAATGTCATGTGCTGGTCAATGGGAAATGGGTGCAACTGACCACTGTTACGAAGCACTCTGGAGTGGGAGTGGCATTTGAAGAGGGCGTAAGTGGCTTGTTTGGCCTGTTTCCCTAGCTGTGATGCAGTGTTGTTAGTGATGCCACACACTGGTGGTGCATTCTTCCAAAATCACAGACTGGAGAAGTAGGAAGAGCAGCCCCAAGACTGGGACATATGCTCTTCCTTGCCTCAATGTGCAGGTGGCAGGGGAGGGACGGAGAAGAGTCCAGCTGTAGTAAAAATACTGAAGTGCCAAGCTCTGATATTCTCAAAAGATTGTTTGCCCCCAACCCTGCATCAAACCACCACTGTGTTATATCAGATTGAACTGTTTGTTCCAATCACTGGAATATATAGTGTGTGTTTGTGGGGGGCAGGGATAATTTTCCTATAGCTACCTAATAGTTTAGGGTTCAGAGCCTCACCTTTAGGTTTAAATTGGCTCCAGGCAGGCAATCTGTCATGTCTTATTATCAGGCGGTTATTTATTTTAATGCGGTCTTGACTGACAGCAGGGAGTAAGCCACTGAACTGTGACTATGCCAGTGATGAAAGGTTTTTCTAATCACCAAGCTTCGGCATTGTGTTTCCTGCATGTCTCAGGATGGTTTGGCTTGATTTGTGTGCACTTAAATCTTGCATTTATTTGCAGTTGTGTTAATTTTGCATTAAATAATGCCGTTAATTTTAAAGCAACCTAAAAACCTATGAATAATCTTGTGGACTGTTGCTTTTTCTAAATAATGCATTGACAATACTTGATATTAATTTCTCTTTCCTCTCAATGCTCTGATT